TTTGATACATTATATAACAGGGTATGTTTTATTTTCACGCCTTTACATTGTTGTCGTATTGATAAAGAAAGTAGAAATTAATAAAAGAACGTTTTAAAAGTTAATCTATTTCATTGAAGAATCGTGTCGAAACTGGAGGATTAAAATAAATTCTAATAAATCCCATCAAATCACCTTTATCCTTCGCCATAAACCTATGACTTCCTGTCCTACAGAATACCCCACTTATCCCTTGAACAAATCCGACAAACGTCTAACTTGGAATCCTCATACCAGGCTGAAACGACAAGAAACCGCTCGACGTTTCCGACTACTTCAGCACTTACTAGACAAACGCTCTAAGCCATGCCCTTTCGGGATAAAAAAGGTACTTCATCGCTCATGATATGTAGAACAATCGACAAACTTTCTTCATACCATTTATTTTTTTATTGATTAATATAACATTCTGTCGATTAGACAATAATTGTAGTGAGATAAGACCTCATTCGCACTATATATACATAAAAATATAAAATAAATAGAAGCAAAACAACGACTTGTTCTTGAATCAGAACAAAACTAATTAAGCTGGAATATAACATTCTGTCGATTAGACAATAATTGTAGTGAGGTAAGACCTCATTCGCACTATGTATACATAAAAATACAAAATAAATAGAAGCAAAATCTTGAATCAGAACAAAACTAATTAAGCTGGAATATAAAAATATGAGTAAATTTGACACAAGTTGATATTTAAGGAGAAAATCGAGACCTCGACGAGGTGGTTTAACTTCAATAGAAATAAAAACAATTACAAATAACACTTTTCTTTTTAAAAGTTCAGAGTAAAAATTACTTTAAATTTAATGAAAATTACACGAAATCTAAGTAACGCCATCAAGTGTCGTGCCAGTAACGTTTCGAATCGACCAAACAATACAGTAATACAATACAAATTTTTTAATAAAACCTAAAATTTTATAACCCCATAATAATATTGTAATAACCTAACTCCCACTCCATATGATCAGTGGCTTCCACATTTCACAGCCATTATATTGTTGACAATTATTTATATTCATTTTAATTAATAAATGGAATTCAATGAAATTGATACGAAGTAATTTCTACACTGTTCTCCAAATTTCCTCCAAGTTTGTGTCTAATCGAATGCTCCGTTTTCAAACTATAGGCATATCAAATAACACATTTTCTGATCTGAAAGCGGATTTATTTTTTTATTTTTTATTATTAGATAGAATTCATGTCTATTTCATTTTACGTTTACTAATCCTTTAATTCTCTCAAAATTTGAGGCAAATCGAACTTTAAGACGTATATAGACGTATCCAAGAAAACACGTTTGCGCCTATATATAAGAGAAAACAATAGACAGAATTCAGTCAAATTGACCACCCTGCATTATTTTATCACAAATACCTACCTTTTGATCCACACTGAAATATTGGTATATCTACAAAAATTCGTTTGCGCATCAGTGTTACCGCGCGCTCTGTGACAAAACCTCGTACTGAATCCTCGTACATCCTCGTACTCTTCTTCATTCATAACTTGCACTGTTATAATGGCAGTGTTATTGTTTTTTTTTTAAGTAAAATTAGATCAGAATTTTTTATTTTTACCTCCATTCATATATTTTAAAGCCTTTTTACATTACTTTTTTAAAAGTTAATTGGTCAAGCAGTAAAATTAGCTTAATAAAATATATAAAAAAGTTTATATATTTTTATAAACTACTGAAAACGTTATATAAAAATTAAAATAGCTAAATAAACTTCTTAAAGTACTCTTTATAAGTATTCATTAGTAGATCCAAGATTTAATTTGGGCGAAAGAATAATTTTTTTCTTTTTTCTAAAAACAAAACAACTAATTTTATGAAAGGATGTTAGTGGTTCTAGAAGGACAATAAAAATTAATTATTGGGCATTGATGCTTTTAGAGATATCCATTATAATATAAAAAAATAATAGATTGTGATTGTTTCAGTATTTAGCTTACAATTATATATCGCACAAAATAAATGTGGAACACTGAAAAAATACTTTTTTTTTCATTATTTAAGATAGGTTCATTATGAATACTAATTAATTATTCAATTAATTACTTTACTCCATCAAAAATCGATTTTTTTTTTAAATTACGCTAATAATTTTTAAAAAAATTTAATTTATCTAGAATATATTTACAATTGCAGTTTTATGAAGGAAATAATAATTACAAAGGAGATAATGGATATACTTTCTCGTGTTTTATTTTATGCTCGATAAAAATGACGGTAAAAATTTCTGTTTAATTTTCTATTACAACACATTTTAAAAAATATATATTTATAAAATAAGTTTTATGAAGGAAATAATGGATATGGTTTCTTATATTTTATTTTATACTGAATAAAATCTAAAATTTTTTTTTTTTAATTTTATTTTCAAGAAAATTAAAAAAAACAAACATATATATACAATCACGGTTTTATGAAGGAAATAATAATCATACTCTAATTAAAGAAGATATAATTGCAATTGATATGTCTAGAAAGCAATAGAAGTTCAGTATTTCATATCAATATAAATAATAATACAGTCAAAATAACCTTAAAACAATTCTAAACTTCATTCATAAAAATATAACCTTGCATTGTATACGCCAGCAAAACTTATGTACGAGATACGAGGCTGATCTATCCTCGTACCTCGTACAAATACGAGGATCCTCGTACAAACGGCAACACTGTTGCGCATGCTTAAGCGGAGGTGCTGGTTAGAATTTAATAAAATTGATATGGGAACATCTAGACACCAACCCATACAATTCCTGATAATTTCATGAAAATCAGATAAACGGTAGGTGATATGCCCGTTACATCGATTTGACTACAGACAGACAGATGCCGAACCAAATTAGATCCTTGATGTCTGAAACGTAAAACGGTAGTGGAAATTTTCGATTCTGAGCACATAATTTTTTTAACCTCTCGCAAGAAAGACACCTTCGTTTTTAATTGATTTTCGAAAAATAAACAAATTTTATAGAGAAAAAAATTGGAAAAGATTTGAGTACTGAAATGGACAGCCTGCTAAATATTTCTTGGAAAAGCGTGGGAGATGTATTTTGTGTAGAATTAATTATAACATACTAATTATAACTTGGCAGTGAGGGGCTGCCCAGCCTTTGGGTAGATTGTCACTGAGCGCTCTGAAATAAATCAGCACGTTATGAGACTTTGTCCGCGTTTTTTATTTAGTTTTTCTTTTTTTTACTAAAAACTTAGAACTTAAAAATAAAAAAAAAAATGTGTGCTTCAGGCCTCACGATATAAGTGAAAACATCAATAAGGCGAGATTAAAAATATGAAATATAAATTATAAATAATAGCTGATTAGAAAGAAGATGAAATGCTGAACATTTCCCTCGCTTACAGTACACAGATTCGATTTTAATTTTTTCTTATATAGTGTATTCACCATAGCAGATCTCCAATAATTAGTCTAAAAGCATGATGATGATCTGGATATTACATACTTATTATTATAACATGAATTTAGAGCCTGACAATGGAGCACATTAGATTTAAGGTAATTAAAAATTTAATGTAGCAACCCAATTCTGACATATATTGTAACATGCATTATATTTTGACTCAATTTTTAGCCACGAATCAACAAAAAACATTGGGATTGTAGTTCTGAAGATGGGAGTAAATATCCCGAAACGTTAACATGTAAACATATAATTTGGATATACAACATATAAATCCTGTGACAAAACTACTTAGTTCGCGCCTCTTGTCCCGAAACTTAAAAATTAGAATCTATAAAACAATTATCTTGCCTACAGTCCTTTATGGATGCGAAACTTGGCCGCTTACATTAAGGGATGAGCAGCGTCTTAAGGTTTTTGAAAATAAAGTATTGCGTAGAATATTCGGACCGAAGAAGGATGAGTTAACCGGAGAGTTCAGACGGTTACACAACGCCGAATTGCGTGAGCTGTATCCGGGTAATATAATTGAGGTAATTTCATCGCGGCGAATCAAATGGGCTTGTAAAGTTGTTGGGCTTAGTAACGAGATAATTCCTAAAAGGTTAATATTTGCTATGCCGAATGGTAAGCGTCCGAGGGGTAGACCGAAGCGAAGGTGGGAAGATTGCATTAAAGCCGATCTGAAGGGACTGGATTTGGACGGCGAACGGTGGAGGGAGGTGTGTAACAAGCGATTGGTGGTGTCGGCATCGAACCTTCGGGTTCGCTAAGCCTTATTATTATTAACATATAAATCAATTGTTGTTTAATTGGAAGTCATCATTGCCAAAAACAAAGAATATCATACAACTTCCCAGAAAAAAGTTTATTTTTTGAAATATTTTAATTCGTATGCAAAAACACTTCAATTAGTCGACTCCAGCCGACTTTACCCCTAACGTTACAAATCGGAGATCTGACGGCTCAATCTAATTTACTCTCGATAAAAAAAGTGGAAAACAGGCCTAAAGAAATTTTGACTTAAAAACAAAGTCTGGATTCAGTCAGTTTCTCTATTAAACTACTCTCAACCAAGATACATTTGACTTTAGAACTGTGTTGGGGATACTCCGAAGATAAACATACTCAAAAGTCCCCGATCCTAACTCGGTCGCTTCATTGTAGGGAGGGAGAGAGGCACTATAATGGCCCTTTTTTTTCTGAGTGTTATATTCATGTTTTCGTATTTTTTATAGTTTTAGTGATATTTACCATTTTAAATCTACAAAGTTTAGAATACCGATGTCGACCTCACATATTTATTCAAACATTAAATAAAATAGGCATATTTAAGAACCTTGTTAGATGAAAATATTTTTTTATTGTTTTGACTTTAATCGAATTAATTCATTCCATAAAATGTCTGAAATATTCGTTATTATTATATTGCTCTAACTCTCTATACATCTAAATCTATATGTATATATTTACATATACATACATACATACAGTAACGTACCTAGTCCCTGTCATAAATATTGTTGTAAGGCAATATAACAGATTTCATCAGAAAAATTATTTTTTTCAAAAAGATCATAAGAACACAAAATGCATATCTATAGAGAGTAAAACAAAAAATAAATTACTCAAAATGTCCCCCTTTTGCCTTGACACAGGCATTTAATCTCCGTGGCCAGTCATCAATAGCAGCACCCAGCACTTCTTGAGGAAAGCGCTCAACTGCTCGGACCAGAGATTGTTTGAGGCTTTGTAAGTTAGGTTGTGCTCTGTGGCATGCCATCCTCTCCAGTTCGGACCAAAGCGATAATCTAGTGGGTTGAGATCAGGGCTTCCTGAGGGCCAATCCCAGGCAGAGATGAACTCTGGAACGTTTTTTAGCAGTAATTGCTGACTGTTGACCTGGCCTTGTGAGCTGGAGCGGAATCCTGCTGGAAGACTCAATGACTTCCAGCAAACAGAGTATCATTTAGAGGCTTGGCAACAGGTTTCAAAATATCGTCCTGATAGCTTTTAGCGTTTGTTTTAACACCTTTAAAAAAAAAAAAAAAAAACAGAGCTTGGTGGAGCCATCATAGCAAAAACTCCCACCAAACCATCACCGAGGAACGATGATGTCCTCTTTCCATTCTTTCAAGGACTTCCTGGGCTTCTTTAGAGTGCGTACACACGATCATTTTGGAGACGACAAGAAACCTCTCGACTTTTCCGACTACTGCAACACTTACTAGACAAACGCTCTAAGCTTTCAATCAACTACAAACGACTCATATATATATATGACAATAATAAGGCCTATTTGGACTTACGGAATTGAGCTTTGCGGCTCCATTAAACCATCGAATTCCTCTCGTATCCAACGCTCTTTACTTTGTCACAAATAAAATGATCCATAACGACCTTAATGTTCCATATGTTTCCGATTTGGGCCAACCCAGATACGTATCCTTCCACAACAAACTTCAGAACCATCCGAACACTCTCGTTTCAAATCTTGCTTCCTCCTCAATCTCTGATAACGTCCGAGGCGTCTGAAAAGAAGATGGCCTCGTGATCTTCTTGTGTTAATTTATTGTTAGACTGCTACCAATGGGTAGTTTCTCAACAAGTGATTTCATGTTGTTATATTCCTGAGTGCACATGTACTAGATTTTTTTTTTTAATCTATTTGTAAATATCATGAATGAATACAAACATAAAAATCAAATTATGCAGTATTTGTTTTGCTTTGGATATACACGTTTGGTTAAGAAGTATCCTTGTTATATATTTGTATATTTGTTACAAAAACAATTTTCAATTGTAAAAAAGAAAAGAAAATGGAAAGAATCCCTATTGCCGCTGTACAAAGAGGCGCGAATTCTGGCATCGGCTTTCCCATTTGGCACATTTCTTGGACGTCATCGGATTCCTCAGGTCTCTTATGAAGTTGTCCTTTTGACCGACTGCCTCAGAAACCTGATGATTGACGTCTTTTTCGTCATTGGTGAATAAACTGAAGAAAACATTCGGATTATGGAAAGACGCCAAGAGTTCAGTTCGCCAATCGTAATCAAGTATCTATCGAGACTATCACTGATAAAGATGTGCTGTTATTAATTTGATTTTACACGTTCTTCAAACATTGTGAAATTGGTGCCACGTATTGGTGCAAATTATGATCAATTTCGGTTTATTATTTTTAATTATGAATAATTGTAATCGTCCAAAAAAATCAAAAACTTAATTTCCTCCCATCATAATTTGAGGTATTACGTTTGACGATATGTAGAATTCGAAAATCGAATACAATTTTTTTTTCCGTCCGCCGTTTTTCTCCGAGACTACTGGACCGATCTTTTTCAAATTTGGGATCAAAGCCACGCAAGGATGATCCTCCTTCCTCGGCATTACTATCCGCCCTTTCCTTCCACTCACACGACTTTCCTACCTATTTCAGAAGTTTTTATATCTTCACATATGTTCATAAAGAAACAAAAACAAATTGAATTCGATTTATTTTCCTGAAAATTGATCAAAGAAAAGGTTTGAGTACGATTTATTCGATAAACTAAAGCAATGTAAGTCGGTTTAAGGTAGATCAGTATAAAAATATCAATACCCTCTAATATTGCTGTTTCTGTTAAAAGTAGAGAAAATAGTGAAGCTTGTGAGATTCTAGCAACAGAATTTCTCACTTTCACTTAGTTATCTTTTTTCTCTCACTCACCCCTTTCTGACACCGAGACATGAACCCATAATCTTAAAGGGCTCTGAAACGTATAGATCCGTCAAAAACTGCTAAACATTTTTCTTTTCTTTATAACATTTTTCCCTGGTGAAAATCTGGTGTGTCCACTCACACGACTTTCCTATGTATTTCAGAAAAGTTTTTATATCTTTACATATGTTCATGAAGAAACAAAAAAAAAAAAACTGAACTAGATTTTTTTTTCTAAAAATCGATCAAAGAGAAGATTTGAGTGCGATTTATTTGATAAACTAAAGCAATGTAAACCGGCTTATGGTAGATCAGTGTAGAAATTTCAATACTCTCTAATATTGCTGATCAAAAACTTTTTGTCATTGCTTAATTTTTTTAAACAATAATTTCTGTTAAAAGTAGAGGAAATAGTGAAGCTTGAGTGATGCGACCAACAGATTTTCTTACTTTCACTTAGTCATCTTTTTTCTCTCATTCACCCCTTTCTGACACCAGAATATGTACCTGTAATCTTACATTGGAAATTGAATAGCTGTAACTTCGTTAATAGTGTCCAAAATGAACGATTTTTATATACTTTTGAAGGAAATTTCATTACCAAACGGCGTATTTAAAATTTATTATAAATTTTACCGTACAATATATATGTAGGGAGTTAGGCCCCAAAACATTTTTCTTTTCTGTATAACATTTTTTCCTAAATTTTCTGAGGAATTTAGTCTATATACGAAAATTGAAAGGACAATTATTAGAAAATTATAGGAAAGTTTCATCAAAATCGTTAGAGCCGTGTTTGCGCTACAGTATATAGAAAAAGATGTTTTTCATTTATTACGCAGCAGTTATTGGGCATGCAACATTCAATTTGTGTCACAGTATTCAAAACTCTACAAAAAAAAAAAAAAAAAAAAAAAGCACAAAATAGTTTCTGATATTCCCGAGAAAATCTTGGAAGAAAATCAGACAGACCAATGGCTAAAAATGTGTTTTTCAAACACCATCAAAATGTAGATCCATCAAAAACTGCATATCGGAAATTTGACCCGATTGCAATACTTTCCTTACCTAGTATAGGTAGGAAGTTTTTCTAGTTGGATTAAAATAAAAATTTTGCAGAATTATTTCTACTTCATCTTAAAGTATCACTATTTATTTTAGTAAGTTTGTACTAAAGAGCCTAAAGTATAAGGAAAATACTCAGTAGAAGAGAAAGAAAATCAAGAGGTTTTTTACTGAATTAATGTCAATACTAGTTGACAAATAACATTAGTAGAAATAAATTGAGGAATTAAATGGATGGAGCTTTAAGGGACGTTATCAAGACAGCCCTGGCAGGGAGCGGAAGGGTGTCGGATGTCCTCTGCCAGAACAGAGTTAATGGCGATTTCGGAAGTAGCTCGTGTTACAGCGCTTTATCGACGAGCTTCGGCTGATGATGTTGGGGGGGGGGGATAGGAGCCCCCCTGCAGAGAGGAGGTCATACGATACCTGCGATTTAGCTAGGTCTCTAGATGTCTTCTTGTCTTCCATCATCATGGAACTCAAGACCTAGTTATACATGTCACATTTAGTTCTATCGAGAAAATGTAAAAAAAAAAAAGAATAGCGAAATTTTAACTGAAATCGAATTTATTAGTCCGTGGTACAGAACCTTCTTTATCTAATTATTAACATCCTCGTAAATAGTTTCATCTCATCGTAACCTACAACTATTTTATTGATGAAAATTCTTGAAATAGGGGCGTTTTCAATCTGGAATGGGCCCAATTTTGTCTATTAAAACTCGTAAATACCCATTTGCTTTCTACTTTAATCGTACGATAACATGAGCTCAAAGTCCAGAAAAAAGGTGGCCTTCAAAAATATTCAAGTCGTTTGGCCTAAATATACCTTGTTATTTTGACAATTTGGGGGTGTAGGTCATGCATACTTCTCTATATTTTTGTAGGCCACCTTTTTTTCACCAATTTGTGCTCAAGTTATCTTGCAATTAAAGTGGAAAGCTAATGGGTATTTACGAGTTTATATCTACTTGGATCGTTAGATAATTTGATCACAAAATCGATAACAAAGGTGGCGTATAAAAATATTTGGCCGTTTGTCCTATACAACCTCGTTATTTTTATAATTTTGAGGTGTAGGTTACTCCAAACGGCTCAATATTTTTTAAGGTCATCCTTTTTCAAAAATTCGTAAAAAAAACATTTTCTTTCTAATTGAATCGTAAAATAATTTGATCACAAAATCGATAACAAAAGCGTTCTAGAAAAATATTGGGCCGTTTGACCTATATAACATCGCTATTTTGAAATTTTGGGGGTGTAGGTCACGCCAAATGGCTCAAATTTTTGAAGGCCATCTTTTTCATCGATTTTGTGATCAAATTATCTTACGATCCTAGTAGAAAGCAAATGTGTATTTACGTAGTTTTTGTATCTAATTAAATAGATTTTGCTTCCCTCCAGATTGAAAACGTCCCAATTCCGGGAATTTTCGTAAATGAAATATTTGTAGGTTACGATGAGATGAAACTATTTACGAAGTTTCAGGCGGATGTTAATAATTCGATAAAAAAAGGTCTGTGCCACGGACTACCACTGTATTTTAGCTTCTGACAGGGATTTTAATATAGATATATTTTAGCCATTGAAAATGGTGAGGAAGGTAACTTGGCAGATGTTTTTACTTTTCTACCTATATTCGGTAAGGAAAGTATTGCTATCGGGTCAAATTTCAGACATGCGGTTTTCGATGGATCTATACGTTTCAGAGCCCCTAAGTCCAAAAAACACATTTTTAGCCATTGGTCTGTCTGTCTGTGCCAAGATTTTCTCGGGAACTACTGAACCGATTTCGTTACTTCTTTTTTTATTTTGTAGGGTTTTGACTACTGATGGCTGTGACAGAAATTCGGTGCTCCATGCGCAATAGCTTGCGCGCAATAAATGAAAAACATGTTTTTCTATGGACTGTAGCGCGAAAACGGCTCTAACGATTTTGATGAAATATTCCCATAATGTTCTAATAATTGTCCTTTCAATTTTCGTATATAGACTAAATTCGGGAAAAAAAGTTATAAAAAATAGAAAAATGTTTTGGGGCCTAACTCTCTAAATATATATTCTATGGTAAAATTTATAATACAACTTTTGAAAGGTAATTAAATTACCAAAAAAAATCATCGAAATCGAACCAGTCTTAACGATGATACAGCTTATTCTATTTTCTACACGTACAATGTCCAATGTACGATTACGGGTTCATATGCTGGTGTCAGAAAGGGTGAATGAGAGAAAAAAGATGACTAAGTGAAAGTAAGGAAATCTGTTGCCCGCATCACACAAGCTTCAATTTTTCCTCTACTTTTAATAGGAATTATTGTTTGACAAAATTAAGCTATGGAAAAATATTTTTGATCAGCAATATTAATGAGTATTGTTGTTTTTATACTGATCTATCTTTAGCAGGTTTACATTGCTTTATTTTATCAAATAAATCGCACTCAAATCTTTTCTTTAATCAATTTTTAGGAAAATAAATGTAATTCAATTTTTTTTGTTTCTTCATGCGCATATGTAAAGATATAAAAACTTTTCTGAAATAGGTAGGAAAGTCGTGTGAGTGGACACACCAAATATTGTTTTTATTGTTAATACTTTTTGATTATAATTTAGTTGTTATTTTGATTTTATTTATTTTATGTTTTCTGTATATATAGTGTGAAAATGCTCATATATCACTATAATTATTACCCACGTGACATATTGTTGTAATACTGAATAAATAAATAAATGTTTGTATTCCATTTAGTGAGTGAAGCACTTCTTTGCTCCTGACCCAGGGTTCGAGTCCAGCTGTTTCATCGGCCGTTGTTTAACTCTGTGAAGTGGATATTCATAATTAAATAATTAATTAATGTAGAAATCCTGGCGGTTAAGCGCGATCTTGACCCAATTATATTAAATTACAAATATAAAACCAATTATCTATAAACAATGTAGTTAAACTTTATTAATAAAAAATAATTAATGATGATACTTTTTGTGATTAAAGACCGTGATAAAAGTGAAAACGTGTTCACTTTGTGGCCCCTTTTTTTTCCTCAATAAAAAAAAAAGCTTGCAATCACTTTAAACAGCCTCAGAGGTGAGTAAATAGATAATTCAATTAACTTTGCTCTCTGGCGTCAAAAATCTCATTGATTTTCTTATAAACTTCTTTATCTTAAATTAACATAATAATTTTAAACCATTGCTTTTTTATGGACTTAATTAATTGGGTTTATATTTTTGACAGCAAATCCTGAAATTCTTTTTCATTCTTAAATAAAATTAATTAATAAATAAATAAATAATAAAATAAAAAATAGTAAAGAAGGGATCATTCGGTTTTCATATATATATATATATATATATATATATATATATATATATATATATATATATATATATACATACGTTTCGCGAGTATCATGGATTCAGCATTGTCTAAACATTACCAATCCCTAGTTTAATTAGCTCTTACTTTTTGTGTCTGTGAAGTTGACCATCGATAGAAAAAAATCGATTCTTTTTTTCTTTATATAGGGTTCTTTTAATCATTAAAAAAAAAAAAAATAAGAAATTTTAAGATCACTCGGTCACCTATAAAGCCACTTAATTGTCCGTCGATATGAAATCAAACAATACTTCTTTATTTGGATAATATTTACAATACTAATACACTGTGTTCTGTAACAATGCTCTATCTGTAGAAAAAGAACTCGATTGTTCTTAATGTAAACAAATGAGCTATGAATGGCTACATTGTTATGAAGATATTTTTTCAGTTTTCCAGAGAGAAATGTTTAGTTTTAGGTTGCCTTTATTTCTCAGAAGTTGGTCATTGTTCGGGTTCACTACATCGGATTTTTAATAATGTAGCAGTTTTTTAAATGATCGTTTTACAGATCCTATATAAAGTTCTATGCCCTGTTTAATATATATATGTATATATTAAATTATATGTACAATTTAATTTGTAATATTAATCTTCTCTTCAATTAATATACATAAGTATTCACAGTCTATTGTTGAAAGTTCAGACTTATTTCTAAAAGTTATTAATATACCTTACTGAACTATTCCAGCCGATCTGAAGGGACTGGGTTTGGACGGCGAACGGTGGAGGGAGGTGTGTAATAACCGATTGGTGGTGTCGGCATCGAACCTTCGGGTTCGCTAAGCCTTTTATTATTATTATTATTACTGGACTATTCCATGGTAAAAATATACCAACGTAAGTCACGGCGGATCTACGGGGGGCTTTGGGGCTAAAGCCCCCCTCCAAAATGATAAAATATAGCCATGTTTTATGGAACAAAATATAAAAAAATTATCTCTTAAAGTATTATTGTTCGTGTAATTACATTTTAAAATAATCACTTAAACACCATTTCATACAGGTAGTTAATTTCATTCTTTTTTTTCAAAGTAATTATCGTTTTTTTTTATGAAAAAAAAAATCTTTCGGGCTGAAGCCCTCCCCAAAATTAAATCCTGGATCCGCTAGTGACATAAGTTAAAGAGGACTTGGTAGTCGAGCATGTTAGGGCGTGTTTCCAGTGTTTGATTTTGAACGTTGTTGGTTCGATTCCCACCTGAGTCAGTTAATATTTATTGCTCAACGGACTTATATATATATTTTTTTAAATAACCGTTTTTGTTGGTTCCGTTTTTACCTTTCGCCTAATTGTTAATCCGATTTTTATGTAATTTTCATAAATGGTACCTAGATGGTAACACATCAAATTTCATCATTGATCGTTGGTTCGGTTGAAATTTAGAGGAAAGTTAAGAATCTGGGAAAAAGTTAATTTTATCACATCCTTCCTCTACTTTCGAGTACGGACACGCAAGCATACTTGCCGTTGTACGCCTATATTTTTAAAACGACCCATTCGATTTCGCCGAAATTATCAGGGAATTTTGCGACTAATGTTGATATGGTTTAGTATCAATTTCATTATATTTATTTTAATAATTAAAATAGTATTCTATTACAGAAAATAATAGCTGAATTTGACTTATTTTATACAACTACAAAGCATGAAGGGTCTTGGGTCAGCACTAATTAGGGAAAGCACTGTTTCTTGGTCTACGGTTGTGCAAGGAGGTGATTGGAACGAGATCACGTTCAACCGCCAGGTTTTCCCTTAATTAATTATTTTAACTTAGGGAACACACTTTATAGAGGCTGGGTGTGGCTCAGGAGGGTCTACCTACCCAGAGTTGCCCCATGGCATATGAAACAGAATAAATAATTTTTCTGCCATGAGCCGGGATTCGAACCCGGGACCTTTAGCATTGGAAGCCCTATCACTTTGCATCAGTGCCCTACCACTGAGTTACCCCACTCCCTTATATATATATATATATATATATATATATATATATATATATATATATATATATATATATATATATATATATATATATATATATATAATCTATGTATATATATATATATATATATATACATAGATAGATAGATAGATAGATAGATAGATAGATAGGCCGGGGTAATCCTCTTATGAAGCCTGTATGTTATCTATTAAATATCAAAAATAAAATTTTCTATCTATCCATTTATTAGTGAACCGTTTTTTAATGAACAGCTCTTTAAGCGGATACCAGTCATGATCTCATGATGAAATATATCATTGTCTTTTATTATTTAAAAACATAACCACAATATATTTTTATGTATAATATAATATTTAATATCGTAATATTTTACTTTCATATATTACACACAAGGACAAGGATAGATATTAGTGGTAAAATAAATAATTGACAAGAGCTTAAAAAATCTCTGGTGCCTTTGGATTTTATACACGGCCCTGTACATATTCAATTGCATTTTCACATATAGCTATGAGAAGGAGCTGATCGGAGAGTGCGGTCAAATAAATACAAACTTATAGAAATAGTATTATTTAATTATTATGCTGACGTTTCGACCCGCCTGGCACGTCTTCATTACATCGGATTTGTAATGATGTACCAGTTTTTTAAACGATCATTTTACAGATCCACAAAGTTAATTGGAATTTAAGTAAAAGATAATTGGAATTTAAAAATACATAATTGGTGAGGCCTAGATAAGTAGGTTAACTAATTATCTTCAACAATGAATTTGATTTCCTAATCAAATAAATTATCTAATTATATATTTTTAAATTCTTGTTCTCTGTTAATATTTACATATATTTTTTTGTCATGAAGACCTGCAAGGATACTATTTCTATAATTTAGTATTTATTTGACCACACCTCCCGATCAACTCCTTCTATTATATCACGGTCAACCATCTCTACATCATATATACCTAATATTCAATTTTTTAATTGTATGTATAGAATGAACTTAAGTTCTCTTTTTTCTTTTAATTTATGCATTAAATTACATAGGGAATATTTGCGATTCACAATTTCATCATTAAATATTATAGTTAACTATAGGGTGTTATAAATATTATGGGATCAATAAAAGTAATTAAAAAAGGTCGTAACATGATTATACATAGAGTAAGTAGTGCTTTTTAATGCTCAGCATTTTTTTTTTCAGTAATAAAATTTATTAAGAATTAAATTCACATACAGTTTCATAGCCATATTTTCATATTAAAGCATTTTTTTTCTTCTTTGTTAATAAAATGGATATAACAATATATAGATATAAGATAATAATCGAAATTAATAATTAAATAAAAAAAAATAATAAAAAATCGATGCTGGCTAGGCCTACCCCAAGAAGGCGACCTGCACTGACCTATTTAGACAGCCAGGACCTGACCGGGCAAGAGGAACATAGTATCCCGTGGTCCTGCCTCCTCGTCCTTATATTAATAAAGGACATTGGATCCTTATCCTTGGTCCTTGGCAATGATATAATAAATAATAAATATAGTAATCGGGGGGTGAGTATCCCTCCCCAAGGTCCTCGGGGTGAAGCTCTGCGCATGCGCACCCGCGCCCTCTTGTCCGCCATATCTACTCATCCGCGTTCAGTTCATCTCCAAAGTTCGTTCGAGTTTCATCAGACCTATCACAAGGTAAGCTTCTGTATCATTATATAATAAAATACAGTATAATATAGTGATAATTATATAATATTTGGAAGCAATAGAAGTGAATAGAATATTTTAACAGCTATCAAAAATATTTAGATTTTTTTTTTTAAACTCCAATAGTTTATTAAAAATTGTGTTTATTAAAAAATAATAATTCGACTTGAAGCAATCCTATATTGGATATAAGAAGGAAAACTTACTAATTTAAAAAAAATTAATTTTGAATAGTTTTTTTTTTTAAATTGTGTTATAAAATTGAAGAATAATTTGGCTAAAAATTTAATTTATTTTCACAACGAACTATCAAGTTTTTTAAAATTGATAAATTAATTTTTAAAAAATGTTTTAATATAATAAGTATGCAGTTTATTTTCTAAAATATATTATTTTAATTTAAATAATATAGTTATACCTTAACAATACATTCCAAAAATTGTTAGGGTGTAAAATTGATTTTTTTTTTCCCTTATTATTTTTAGCCCGATGTTTTTTGCTTACCTAACAATTGGGATTATAGGTCAAACATTTTTACGTTTTTTTTAAATGCATAAGCTCTGTCATAGAATTTTTATATTTAAAAAATAATATAAAATTATAACATGAATAAAAATTGTTTTGTGTTGCCGTTTTAAAAATATTACTAAAATTTCGTAACACGTATTTCCCCCCCCCCCCCTAATAAATAAGACTATACCTTGCCAAAACAATTTATCATTCTATTTTTGATATTATTATTTTTATATGTATTTTTTTTATAACGTACAAATTATTTACTTTTTTTACATTTTTAGGTTTAAGCAATTTTATTTATATATAAAACAATTTTTTTTAATCGAATAATTTCATTTATAGGATTTTTAACATTTTTTATTATTATTTTTTATTTAGTATAATATGGTAAGTATACAAATTATTCGTGGTGATAAATTTAAATTTTAGTATACATGGTACTACAAAGATTTTTCTAATTATTAAATGTTGGAGAAATTCTAGTTATCAGAGATTTCTCGTTTTGAAATTTAACTAGATGACGTGGAACATTGTTACATGCACTTATGGTTTTTTTTGTAACATTAAGTGTTGTCGATTCTCTTGAAAAGATTAGAAAATTATTGACTTTTTTTTTTTTTAATTCTGAGAAAACAAAATTATTTTTCTGTAGTGACACGCCCATCTTGAGTCGATTTTCTTCTACTATGGTACGAAGTATCGCAAATGGTTCTGAGCATGTGCAAGCTACGAACAAATTATTATTGCAAAAAGTTCTATTATTTGGAATAAAAATAAAATAATGTAATTTGAAAAAAAATTTTAATATTTTATTAAAATTTTATAAATTAAAAAAATATATATATTTTGCTTGAGTAAGCTGATATTGAGTTCAAAAGTCCTACTTTCGTCTTTATCAGCAAGATTAGAGAAAATACTTATAATCCTTTTCCTTAATACTTCTTACTGATTATTTAATGTGGATTCAATATTTATTTAACTTTATATCCATAGAATTTTAAATATTTTTCTTTTTTTGAAAAATATGAAATCAAATGTATGAACCATTCAATTCTACACGAACCTCTTGGTTTTTATCGAGTTTACAAAAATGGCTTCGTTGTTTGTAAAGAAATTCTGTTTTCTGAAGAACATTTGTAAAAGGAGGTGATTTGACTGAGATCACGCTCAATCGACAAATTTGTTTCACTTAATTATTTAATTTTAAAAATATATATATAGAGGCTGGGTGTGCCTCAGGCGTGGATTCCTGACCCCAGGATCGATCCATGACTGATGTAATATAATAGTTACTTGCCCCAACCGGTTTCAAACCCGATACTTAAAGCATTAGAGTACAATGCTTTACTTACCACTCTGATCACTTGATTAAATAAAATAAAAGTAATACAAAATTAAAATTAAAAAAATGTTTATTAATACAAATTAAGCAAAGCAAAATAATATAAAATCTGATGAACGATTGGATCAGTTAAAAGTACATTAATACATAATAATATATCTTTTATAATAATATATTTTTATTTATTTATTTTTAAATTCTCTTAGATTTTTTTTTTAATTTCGATCCAAGTTCGTTTCTTCATTTATTTTTTTGCACTCCCCTCTTGTATATTTCTAATATAAAAATTTTTCTTTAAAAAATTTTTTTTATTGTTCTACTTCGTTATTTTTTCCCATTAAATATTAGATTACTTTAGTCTTTACTAGAGTTATAGTCTTTACTGTAGATTAGTACTAGAATTTACACCAAGTGACAACATAACTTTTGTGACTACGTAATTTCCTTCTAAATTGGTGTGGTTACACTATTGAACTGCATCCGCCTGGTTTTTCCCCTTTGATATTCCTTTACTGAAGTCAGTTACTGATAAAGATTCGGGATTTTTAACATCGCTGTATCCTCGGAAGACAGTGTGGTCACTAAAGGATCTATGAATTTTTTTTTGGGGGGGAGCTCTAAATAAATAAAAACTTTTTTAAAATTTATTTATTGAGTATCAATACAATCTGTCACACATAATGATATATCAAATTATTATAAATCAGTAAATTGTAATAAAATATTGCAATTATGGCACAAAGTAGGAAATTCTTAGAAAGTACTGTTTCTTAGTCAACGGTTGTGCAGGGTGATGATTGGACCGAGCTCGCTCTCAAGTTCCACGTTTCCTCCCTTAATTAATTATTTAATTAATAGTAGCCACTTTATTAAGGCTGTGCCTCAGGAAGGTCTCCCTGGCGCTGTGACGATCCACGAGCTGGACTTAAGAAGTCAGTGCCTTACTCACTGAGCTATCCTGCTCCCTACATTATATATATACTCAAGAAAAATAAATACAAATTATTAATAACAAAATAAAAAATAAATATATTATATAATAATAGTAAATTGTTCACTTCACTTCAGTAAAAATACACACACACACACACACACACACACACACACACACACATACATACATATATATATATATATATATATATATATATATATATATATATATATATATATATATATATATATATAAATTATAATAACAAGATTAATAGGACAAAATAAAAAGTTGAATACAAACAAAGTAAGTTGTCTAGAATACATTCATACTTGTGTACAAGGTTTTACCAGTCTCGGTCGTGGTATTGGTGTTGCAGTTCGGTTACCTATTAGCTTATTACTATATTAATTTTTTTGATAGGAGAAACCTAACTAAGCCCGAATGGAATATTAGAAGAGTTAAATGCAAAAGTATATTGGTTATACCAATTCTTTACATATAGTAACTAAAATTGTCAAGTATTAGAAACTATTTCGCCTTAATTTTTATTCAAACAAACGATTTTTGTTATCGGTCTTGGTCTTGCAACTTTTAGGCGTTCTTGGTCTCGATCTTACAAAGTGCAAGACCAAGACCGATTTTGGGCAACACTAGTCACTTGCATATATAGTATAGTTTTCTAACGATTTATTATATATTCTGAATTACTATACTATCTGATTTCAATATATATATATATATATATATATATATATATATATATATATATATATATATATATATATATATATATATATATATATATATATATATATATATATATATATATATATATATTAACTAAAACAAACTTAAATATTCATCAGTGTTACCTTTCTATGCATTAGTTTTTTAAAAATATTTATGACACGTTTGAATACTATATAAAAATATATAGTAGAAATAAGTATTGATTAAGATAACTTATAATTAGTAAATAATTTTTGAGAAATATCGCGTATCTTGTATGAGTATACTCCTGGTTATAATTTACTAATTAAAAAAATATAAATATTATTCCTATTTACAGGTTTTGGAGCCGTAAGTTGTCACTATAAACTTAAATAAGTTTAGAAGAAATATTGCTATGAAATAAAGATATTTTTTTGGCCCGTATTCAATACATTTTCGATGCCAAATTACATATCTATCCTAAGAGATAGTTCTCAACTATAAATAAAACTCAATTATACTTAATAAGTTATCTTTTTATTTTATTGTTCGTCATGAGATGAGATGTTAAGATGTTTAAAAAAAAAAACAACAACAACTATTTACCGAATATTGGATGAAAGAGAACATTATGCAACTGTGTTCGTGACTTTAGCCGAAACCAAATCTGTTGCATTCAAGACCAAGGCCGCGCCATTGAAACACAATTCTATGCAATTGGATAATTACGGGACACTTTAATGCAGTTTTGTCAAGATTTCTTAGAATCAGAAATTCGTCACCATCCATGCTGATATGTCCTTTAACGCTATATTTATGGAATAAAAGCATTATTACGGATTTCTACATGTATATATATATATATATATATATATATATATATATATATATATACATACAGATCTTGTAGATATTTAGCCTCCTTAACAAGCCTGATCCATCTCTGCTTGTCTTAGGCTATTTCTTTCCATTTATCTGGACGAAGCTCTATTGCATCTTTGTTGATTCTATCCACGAGCGGATCTACGAGGGGAAAAGGGGGGGCTTTCGGGCTGAAGCCCCCTTCCCTCAAAATGGTAAAATATAACCATGTTTTATGGAAAAAAAATATTTCTTAAAGTATTATTGTTCGTGTAATTACATTTAAAAGAGCTTTAGGAATCAATTAAACACCAGTTCATATAGGTACTTAGTTTCTTTCTTGTTTTCCAAAGTAATTATCGTAATTTTTATGAAAAAAAAAGCTTTCGGGCTGAAGCCACCCCCAACATTAAATTCTGGATCCGCTAGTGATTCTATCTATCCATCTGCTTTTTGGCTTTCCACGTTGTCATTTGCCTTCTATTGAGGCATTCATAGGTACGTAGAGGCTAGCAGATGGATTGCTACCAGCGAAATTCCCCGCCCATCTTGATCTCCGTGCCTTCATATAATGAGATATTGATTGACCAGTTTTTCTAAGCAGTTCTTTATCGGTCTTTT